TAATTAAAAAGATAAATAAAAAAGTAATTCTCTTTTTTATGAAATTTTCAATTCTAATATGAAATAACTTACATTTTACTAAATTGAGGTTTGAAGAGAAAATTGTGAAATTTAATGTGGAAATGCCTGATTGTTTGAAAAATGTAAAATTGGAATTAAAAACAAAGAAAACAAAAAACAAAAGAAATGATTACAAAGAAAGCAATTATCAAAGTTCAAGAACGTCACGGGCCGGCGCGCTCAATTCAGAGTTTGAAATTAAAAACGCGACATCAACAATTTCGCCACCACTTGCCCAAACGTTCTGGTTTGACCCATCCAGCCCCCCAAAAATGTTACAAAATAGGAAAAATGAATTAAACAGAAAAAGAGAATGAAAATGATTTTGAGATAATTTTTTTATATTTTATTTTAGTATAATTTGATATATCATTTAAATGGTTAATTTTTTTTATTTATATAAAACTCATAATATTAAATATATCTATTAATTTAATAACATATAAAAATTGTATAATAAAATAGAGTAATGATCTGCGGGACGATTTTGGGGGACGAAACGGAAGACGACAAGTAAAACAGTCCCAACAGCAATTACCAATTTGACCTTGTTTTCACTTGTCGTCCCTTAAAATCGTTCCTCAAAATCGTCTCGTAGATCATTACTCAATAAAATAATAAAAAAATATTCTCCCTGTAATAACGTTGAAACGAGAAACTCGTGTTGTCTCAAAATGTTCCTTAAAAGTACCGTTTCTATATTAATATATCCACTGGAAGATCTCATCATTTTCACCAGCAATTATTCTCTTTTTTTTTTAAAATTTTATGTTACATAATAAAAAAAAAATTATAAGAGTGTAATAAATATATATTTTTTATAATTAATTTTTATTAAAAATATAAATATTAATTTTGATTTAATTAATTAACCAATTAAAATCATTGATATATCAATGGTGTTAATATATATATAAACTTTCACAATTTTTAATGTGAATTAATTATAAAAAAAATATTTATTGCATCCTTAATTAGACAAAGTCAATACAAAATAATCATTCCAAATCTTTTAATTTCTTATTTAATTCATTTTATTACATGTCATTAAATTTAAATCTAAAATCAAATTTTCACATAAATAGAAATTATTACTAGGTTACTTAAAACCTATATTTAATAACACTTTTTTTTCTTATCTTCTCTTTTTTATTAAAAAGAAATTCAATAGCATTTAATGAAAACTTGTTTAACATCACAAGTAACTATTTTTAACTTTAAAAAAAATATGATTTTGGAAACGAGTTGCCAAAATTATGGTTCTAATTTTGACCCTCGACAATATTTATGGATTAGTTTTTTTAATATTAATCTCTCAATATAAAAAAGTCACGTTAAACTCAATTAATTCGAAAACAAATTATGTCAAACTCTATAAAAGAGAAATTCTCTCAACGCCTATTTTAATATTTAAAAGATTCAAATTCAATATTTTATTTTAAAAAAAATCAAACTCCTACTTAAACCAATAATATATTTATGGATTAATACATGAACATAAAAATTCCTCACTCATGAAAGAAACTCTTGATTTTAACTCAGATTAGAGCTAAATATATTTGTGTCTAGAAATAGAAACCATTTTTATATTAAACACGTTTTAATTTTACTTGTTTGGTTTAGAAACTAATAATTGTTAGGTAAGTTGTCAATTTTTACTTCTATTTTTTATTATTATTTCTCAATTTTAGTTTTTTTGTTTTTTTCTGGTACATTTCTCAATTTTAGTTTTTTTGTTTTTTTCTGGTACATTTCTCAATTTTAGATTACATAATTTTTTTCAACGAAAATAAAAGACAGGTAACGAAAGCGTTGACACGTGCAATTAATTATTGTTTCGAAGGAAATGTCACCAACAAGTGGTCTGGAAGGTTAGTGAAATAAAGACAAGTGGGGATAAAGAAAATTGGGGTCTGACTCTGCCACTTGCATACTGAATCTCAATCCGTGGGTCGACATTTCGGAGCCGCCTGTTGGTAAATCCGTGTGCTCTGTTTTTTAATTTTTACTTCTTTTTTTTTTCTTTTTGTACAGGTTTTGTTTTTTTTGTTTTTTCGTTTTTAACTTTTCTTTTACATTTTACAGAATTGTTTAATTTTCTTCTACCAGAAAGGAATTGTATAATTTTCATTATGGTAGATTTTTTTGTTTTTAATTATAGATTTAGAATTTAATTTATAATTTTTATATACTAAAAAAAATTTCAACTACTCTTTTGGTTAAACTTAGTTATCTTAATTGGCCAAACCCCTATTTGCACCCTCAATTTATTTTTTTTTCACGGTCAACACCTTTCAGAATTTTTCCTCTCTATTCACACCCTCAATTTTTTAAAACCCATAAAAAACCTAACATTTTAATGCACCGTTGCGGTACCGTTACAAAATGCATTATGTGACACCTCAAAAATTGACGTGGCCACTCTGTGCCATTAGTAATCCAATGTGAATGTCTTTTCTTGATGATGTAGCTTGACATGGCATAATTTTTATGTGAAAATTTCTCAACCAAAAGAAAAAAAGAAAAAAAAAAAAAGAACAGGAGCTCTAGTTCCTTGTGAGGAACCCAATCTGGGTTCCTCATGACGAGGAACCCAGCTTAGGTTCCTCATGGGTTCCTCACGACGAGGAACCCAGAGGTCCTTTTTTTTTTTTTTGTTGGGGAATTTTCACATAAAAATTATGCCATGTCAAGCCACATCATCAAGAAAAGGCATCCACATTGGATTATTAATGGCACAAAGTGGCCACGTCATATTTTGTAACGGTATTGTGACGGCGTGTTAAAATGTTGGGTTTTTTATGGGTTTTAAAAAATTGAGGGTGTGAATAGGGATGACAAATTTTGGAAGGTGTTGACTGTGAAAAAAAAAATAAATGGAGGGTGCAAATAGGGCTTTTGCCATCTTAATTTGATTTTTATATAAAATTTACTTAGATAATTTTATATGAG